TCCAGTTTAATAACTGTAGTAAATAGGCTATAAGAGTAATTACAACACTGATATTCAATTCAATGTTTATTTGGCTTAAACAATGTTTATTTGTCTCAAACAATGTTTATTTGGCTTAAACAATGTTTATTTGGCTCAAACAATGTTTATTTGGCTTAAACAATGTTTATTTGGCTTAAACAATTTTAAAAAAAAGCCATCAGCTGCTTTAACTTGGATTTGAACACAAGACCTCTCGCTTCCTAGGCGAGCGTGTAAACCCCACGACCACGGGGAAGTTATAAATAATGACCCGAAAAAAAATCACATCATTCTCAATTATGGTTTAATTATTCCCTTATTAATTTCGTTATTTTTTGTTCACTGTAAAACTGTTGTTTAACACTGATTTAAATAACCACGGAGCTTAATATAAACATGCATATCTGTAAAGAATAACTCAATATTAGAAATCTTCGACCAATCAGGAATTATTTTTCTCCCCGAGAAGGCTTGAAAATTTATGCACAATTTTGACAATCTTTACACAATCTTGACAACATTTGACAATCTTTACGCAGTGATTTCCGCTTAATGTTTTGGCGTTGGTGTACATATAAAGGTGAGTAAGCGCTTCGAGGAGTTTGGACTACTTTCGGTTTTAGCAGATAAGCACATCAGGGTCTGAAATTTCGTTTGGTCTGACTACCCTAACAAATAAAATCAAAGCGCTGAAAGCACTGCTGGGGGCGCATTATGTTGATTGTATAGTGGTCTATTGTTACAAGCAGATGCCATTCCTATTTTCAAAGCAGATGTCACATTTTTACTCGATTATTCGATAAGAATAAGTAGAATTATCCTAGTCATCTGAACATTGGCGTCTATCACCTCAATTTTCCCGAAGTCCATTGACATATGGCATTGAAACTTTGCACACTTGATCCCGATCAGGCACCCATTTGTTAAAGATTGCCTATGGCTTCAAGATATTTTCGTATTCCATAGACATCTGGCTTTGAAATAAATTGAAATTTTATACATTTCTTTGCGAGCATACTAGCTAGGACTCTCTCCAATGCTTATATCTGTAGAATATTGGGTTTAAAGAAATTTTTGGTCCTTTTGTGAACTTAAAATATTTTAAATAACCAAGGTTCTTCTATTGTCAAGCACTAAGCATATAGTTGAGTGTGCTGTCCTACCAACAGCTATTGTTTGCATACCTTGTGAAATATAACTCCTTCAAACTTTTGTTCAGTTATTATCATACAAACACAAGAACTGTCTGAGGACAGTAAGGCTCGACTATTCGAAAAAGTTGTCACAAGGGTGTTTATCGAGTATAAAAATGCTTACCAATGAATACATAAAACTGACCGAAAAGGTACAAAGGCTTGGATTAAGATGTTTTATCAACTAAATCACTGCTTTATTATCATGAATGCATAAAATTGTCCCAAAAAAGGCACAAACCCTTCAGTAGCTATAGAGATAACATGCTTACAAGCAAAACTTTACCATTAAATTCTAAGTTGAAAAAGGGGAGAAAAATCAGCCTAAATGCTCGATAAAATTATGGATCTTGGTCAGTAACCTACATGTACAATTATGACCTTAAATGCATGTGAAGTTTTAATATTGTAGGCAGAGTTATCCAACTTGTAAATCTGATGTACATTGTTACGATAAATAACTATTGTAAGTTTCAATTGAATATCTCAAGCAATAATTGAGATATTTGACTTTAAAATAAACTTAAACCAACGCAGACGCGGACGCTGGGTTACTACAATAGCTTTCATATTTTTCAAATAGTCGAGCTAAAAACTACCAAGTCATGGTTGACACCATATAGTTATTCCATATATAAATATATATGTATATATCATGGAAAACATTTCAAGATGTTACAATGGATTGTAGTGTATAACAAGAAAATCAGTGTACTTTAACTGTATTTATTCCAATAATCATACAAACATCTGTAAATAACTGGAACAAAATATTTCTTAAATAAAACCATACAAAACAAGAGGGCCATGATGGCCCTAGATCGCTCACCTGACTTATCAAACTCATCCAAACAATTACCTAGACAAGCATTCTGACCAAGTCTCATGACAGGTGAGTCAAAAATGTGACCACTACAGTGTTAACAAGGATTATCCATATTTGAGCAGTGCGACCTAGTTTTTTAACCAGGTGACACATATTCAAATTTGACCTAGAAATCATCAAAACAAACTTTCAGACCAATTTCCAGGATACTCGGATCAAAACAGTAGGAACTAGAGTGTTAACAAAATTTTTCTATTTTTAGCTCAGGTGACCTAGTTTCACATGCGATTTCGAACTCATCCAAGCAATTACCTAGACAAGCATCCTGACCAAGTTTGATGATAATTGAGTCGAAAATGTGACCACTAGAATGTTAACAAGGCTTTTCATTATTTGGGCGGTGTGACCTAGTTTTTCATCCAAGATGACCCATGTTGAATCTTGACTTAGAAATCATTAAAACAAACTTTTAGACCAATTAACAGAATATTTGGATCACAACAGTAGCCACTAGAGTGTTAACAAGATTTTCATCCGAGATGTCCCATGTTCGATTTATTCCCAGCAATGACCTAAGCAAGTTTCCTGACCAAGTTTGCTAACAATTGAGTCAAAATTGTGACCACTAGAGTGTTAACAAGGTTTTTCTATTTTTAGCTCCTGTGACCTAGTTTTTCATCCGAGATGACCAATGTCCGAACTCATCCGAGCTATCACCTAGACAAGCATCTTAATCAAGTTTGATGATGATTGATGCAAAAATGTGACAACTAGAGTGTTAACAAGGTTTTTCTATTTCTACCCCAGGTGACCTACTTTTTCATCCGAGATGACCCATGTTCAAACGCATCCGAGCTATCAACTAGACAGACATCTTGACAAAAGTTTGATGATTACTGATGCAAAAATGTGACTGCTAGAGTGTTAACAAGGTTTTTCTATTTTTAGCTCCGGTGACCTTCTTTTTCATCCGAGATGACCCATGTTTGTACTCATCCGAGCTATCACATAGACAAGCATCTTGACCAAGTTTGATGATGATTGATGCAAAAATGTGACCGCTAGAGTGTTAACAATGTTTTTCTATTTTTAGATCCGGTGTCCTACTTTTTCATCTGAGATGACCCATGTTCGAACTCATCCAAGATATCAACTAGATAAGCATCCTGACCAAGTTTGATGATGATTGATACAAAAATGTGACTGCTAGAGTGTTAACAAGGTTTTTCTATTTATAGCTCCGGTGACCTAGTTTTACATCCGAAATGACCCATGTTCGAACTCATCCGAGCTATCAACTAGATAAGCATCCTGACAAAGTGTGATGATGATTGGGTCAAAAATGTGACCGCTAGAGTGTTCACAAGCAATTGTGGACAGACGACGGACATTCGCCGATCCTAAAAGCTCACCCTGAGCAAGCTCAGGTGAGCTAAAAACCAAAAACTGATGATGACAGAACAGGTATCACTTTATGCCTATACAAATTTTTTTGCTCAAGTGATTTTTTTTCGAAGAGCTACATATGAAATTGCTGCCAAATATACGTAAGTAAAATCTATTTCAAAGCTGCATGCATTCATATAAATATATTTAAAAACAAGAGCTGTCCGTAAGACAGCGCGCTCGACTTTTTTATTGCTTGCCAATAAAAAAAGTTTTTGCAGTAAAAGGCAATACAAGAATCTCTGTATTTTTAAAGTGAACAATGGCCATGAGCATTAAGATATTTAGTGAAGAATTATTTTACTGAATTGTGTGATACCCTTGAACACTGCAGCAAAGTTTGAAATGTTTAAGACTGGTACTAAAAACTTAACCAAGATTCTAAGTCGATAAAAGGCCTTAATTTTTAAAACAAATCCTTGACAGAGTTACCTTCTCTTGCGTACAGATGGGGGTAATGATGTGAAATAGCATTAAAAGTTTCAAAGCAATATCTCAAAGGGTTAAGGCAATAAGTGGATTTTACCCATATTCAATGTATTTTCTAAGTCAAAAAGGGGCATAATTCTGTCAAAAACCTTGACAGAGTTATGTCCTCTTGTCTGTTGATGAAGGTCGTGATGGTAAACAAGTATGGTCAGTTTCAAAGCAATAACTCCAATGGTTTTGAAATAAAGTGAGGTGGTACAAAAAACTTAACCAAGCTCAATACACTTTCTAAGTCAAAAAAGGGCCATAATTCTGTCAAAAACCTTGACAGAGTTATGTACTCTTGTCTGTAGATGGAGGTTATGATGGTGAACAAGTATGGTAAGTTTCAAAGCCATACTTGTAATACTTCTGAAATAAAGTGGGGTGGTACGAAAAACTTAACCAAGGTGTGACGCCAACGCCGACGCCGACGCCGGGGCGAGTAGGATAGCTCCCCTTTTCATAGAAAAGTCGAGCTAAAAATCAAACTTGATTAAATAAAAAAAAGTTCAAGGATAGCCCAAACTTGTTAATTATAAAAAATATATATACAGAGTATTATGTTGTAGTAGCTCTCTGAGGCTTTGTATTTTGCTATGAGTAGTGGTGGGAAATTGATATCTTGCGAGACCAAAGGGCGAGCTAGATAACAATTTTCCAACATTGCAAGTAGAAAAATGCATACCCTCAGAAAGCTACTACAACATAATTTTCCTTTAATAATATACCTTTTCGTTTGAAGTATAAATGATTTTCATTATACTACACTCATATAAGAAATTTCAGAAAAAGAAATGTAGCTGTCAAGAAATAAATTATGACTGACAGATGAATACGTAATTTGTGCAAAACCAGCCACACCTTTTATTATTTTGGTTGCCATTTCCATATACTATGTTATACACAGCTAAGAGCAGAACCAACATTAACAAGAACCGGTTGATGCTCCCCGAGAAGGTTCTGGACACTGGGAAGTATAAAAAAAATGAACAAAGGGCAAAAACCCCGAAATTAGGCAAAGCAGAGTTATGTTTTTTTTGCACTGCACTTCTATTCAATTAGATCTTTCTATCTATAAAGTTGCCTGATGATATCAGAGTTATGTCCAAGGTAAAATTCAAAGTGTAAAAATGAAATTAGGGTAATAACTCCAAAATTAGACCAGGCTTTCTTTAGGTTCTTTAAGCATTGCAGTTCTATCCAATTATATCTAGCTACCTACAAAGTTTCATGTTGATATCTCTAATAGTTTTAAAGTTATGTCTCGGACAAAAGTCAAAAAGTAAAAATAAACAAAGGGCAATTACTTCAAAATAAGGCAAGGCAGAGTAATGATTCTTAAGCACTGCTTAGAGTAATGTCCTGGACAGAGTTTAAAGTGTCAAAATGATCAAAGGGCAATAACTCCAAAAGTAGGCAAGACAGTGTTACAGTTCTTGTGCACTGCAAACTTACTCAACGATATCTATCTACCTACAAAGTTTCATGTTGATATCTCTTTTACATTGAGAGTTATGTCTCGGACAAAGTTCAAAGTGTAAAAATAAACAAAGGGGGATAATTCAAAAATTAGGCAAGGGAGAGTTAAGGTTCTTGTTCACTGCTTACCAACTCAATGAAATCTATCTACCTACAAAGTTTCATGTTGATACCTGTTATAGTTTTAGAGACAAAGTTCAAAGTGTAAAATAAAGAAAGGGGGATAATTCAAAAATTAGGCAAGACAGAGTTACGGTTCTTGTGCACTGCATACCAAGTCAATGAGATCTATCTACCTACAAAGTTTCATGTTGATACCTCTTATAGTTTTAGAGTTATGTCCCGGACAAAGTTCAAAGTGTAAAATAAACAAAGGGGGATTATTCAAAAATTAGGCAAGGCAGAGTTACGGTTCTTGTACACTGCACACCAACTCAATGAGATCTATCTACCTACAAAGTTTCATGTTGATACCTCTTATACTTTTAGAGTTATGTCCTGGACAAAGTTCAAAGTGTAAAATAAACAAAGGGGAATAATTCAAAAATTAAGCAAGGCAGAGTTACAGTCTTGTGCACTGCACACTTACTCAATTAGATCTATCTACCTACAAAGTTTCATGTTGATACCTCTTATAGTTTTAGAGTTATGTCCCGGACAAAGTTCAAAGTGTAAAAATAAACAAAGGGGAATAATTCAAAAATTAGGCAAGGCAGAGTTACGGTTCTTGTGCACTGCACACCTACTCAATGAGATCTATCTACCGTAACCTACAAAGTTTCATGTTGATACCTCTTGTTGTTTCAAAGTTAAGTCCCGGACAAGAAAAGGGGATGGACGGACGGACAAGGCGGCGACTATATGCTCACCCGAAATTTTTCGGGGAGCATAAAAATAGTCCAGGCCTTTCATATATGGTACTGTTTTGTCTCTAACATAATACAGAATTTTCTAACCGTTGAAAACTATTTGCGCTTCAAGATAATCCTGTGTTTTAGGAAGAAAATTTATTGGTATATAATAAATGCTGTCATTGACATTTCTTATGCTTATATTTATTATATGTATTTCTTGCAATCCTATTTATAGCTACAAATTCTATGAATTAAAATAGAAAATGAAGGTAGCATGCAGACGGTGTTGATATTGTGTGATAAAAATTTAAAGATCATTGGAAATCATCCCAGTAACCGAATACTCTAAATGACCGAGTACTCGAGTATTGATTTTAGTAATTGTTGCCATCCCTAAAAAAATAAAGTACTTGACAAGATCAACTAACATCTAAATAAAAAACTTTGAAAACAGAATTAATTATTTTGAAAAATTCACTCTGAGCTGTATTATTTAAAATGGGTGTTCAAACACATTGAAAACATTGATAATTCATTTCATGTTCTTGGTGATGAAGTGGTGCCTCAATATAGTTATCACTGCAATCTATCTTCCCTCATAACTCCTACTATTACTGTATCTGTCAAACAAGCATCTCTGTTTTCTGAAATAGAGTTTGAAAAAGTTTATTGCTGACCGAGATATTCCATACTTGTATGTTAACTTTTTTTCAGCATCTTTCTGTTAGAATTACTCTGATTTATATTTTATAAAGGTATAAAACCAAAAAATGCGCGACCAATGCCAGAGCTCAACCCCCCTGATCAGATTTCACAAACGAGCATCTGAGTAGAACCACCGCCTTTTTTTAAAGCTAGCTGGATTGCTTTCTCACATTAAAGAATCCATATTAAATATAATAGAACATTGATGATTGCTACACAGTCTCTTTGTAAACATAAAATAAGCATGTTTTGTGTTTACATAAAGTAGCTATGTAATGTTAAAACACCACATGCTATAGTTGGTCACAATATAAATATATAGTGTTGTTAGGAAACTGACAGTTTTTTTAAGAAGGACCAAATTTTTTTTTTGTCTCGTAAGAAGGAACATGGCTTCCAATGCATAGTTAATTCATTCAAATTAGACATATTCAAAAAGAATTGCATAGAATTCAAAACATTTTCATGATTAAAATATTTTACTGATGAGCATAGTATATCTTTAAAGGTAAGTGGTTTAGGTGCATTTCTTTGACTATGGTCACCCCAATTAAATCTATTTATTTGCTTAGTAACACAACTTTTTAAAGTCATATAAATTTGTAAATGTGAGTGATTCTGATAATCTATATACAGCTAAGTCAAGATGAGATGATAAGGTTTTACTGACTGCTTACTACATGAAGTCACTATTTCAATGTCAAATGCCTTGAGGTGAAAGGAATGAAAACTTGAATTTCAAAATACAATTTAAGTGAATTACATGTCACAAATGAGCCGTGTCATGACAAAACCAACATAATGGGTTTGCGACCAGCATGGATCCAGACCAGGTTAGTCTGATCAGGATCCATGCTGTTCGCTTACAAACCTTATTACAAGTAGAGAAACTGATAGCGAACAGTATGGATCCTGATCAGACTGGGCGGATGCCCATTATGTTGGTTTTGTCATGACACGGCTAAAACGTTTTTGCTATCGACTTTTGTTCCTAAATTAACAACAGAATGCATAATGAAAAGATATTGAAATAATTAATATACAATTGGCTCTTAGTGCCAAGCTTACAGATTTTAAATAAACCTTGAGCCCTGTGTTGGCCTTTAAACATGTCAAACATTTAGAAAGTATTTATTAAGGAAAAGTGTGTACAAATAATCATGTACCTCTTCATTATATGCCCATGACATTGAAAAAACATTGTGTCATCTGTTTACTTCAAGGTTAGTCACATTGACAGTATCACATTTTAGACTTTATCTCTCTTGATTCCATTCATAAAAAGCATTCTCAAAATGGGTCCTCTTAATTTCACATTCATCAATCTGACAAAAACCTCCTGTGAAAGAAGTTAGAAACATATGCCACTAATTATGTCAGTTAATGTCAAATAAATACTTTGAGAAACTATTTGGTCAAAATTGTAAATGTACAAAGATTTTCAAACCAAATATATATATAACAATGAACATTTCCTTTTTAACTTTCTAACATATATAATGTATGGTCTTACTTGAAGAAAATGTTTGCCCGTGTGACCGAAAAGGGATTAAGGACCATTACTATTGTTTTTCCTTTTGTTTATTAAAGGGCCATGGCCCCATATTCTATTGTTATGGAATGAATTCTATTGTTCTCTTTTGTTATGCTAGCAGTACAATCACTTTATAAAGATGTAAAATGTTGTGTTCGAATAAATGGTTTTGATACATCATGGTTAGATGTGAAATGTGGCTTGAAACAAGGTTGTCCATTGTCACCTATTCTATTTAATATGTATATCAATGACCTGGTAACATATTTAAAAGAGTTGAATATTGGTATAAAGATTAATGATGATGTTTTATGTATATTATTATACGCTGACGATGTTGTTCTCTTAGCGGAATCGGCCAATGATTTACAGATTCTATTAGATAATCTTAATATGTGGTGCGACACAAACAATATGACTGTAAATTGTGAAAAATCTAATGTCATACATTTTAGAACGGGAAGCACAGCTTTAACATCTTTTAATTTCAAAATTGGGACAGTCATATTGATGTTGTTCATAGTTACAGATATTTGGGAGTTGTTCTCAATGAATTTTTAGATTATGCTGAAATGGCTAAGTCTATTGCATCGTCAGCTGGAAGAGCACTGGGTCTTCTCATAGCAAAGAGTAAATTGGTGGGGGTTTTCAGTATACAACATTCACGAGGTTATATGATACTACTGTTTGGTCTGTTCTTAACTACGGTGCTGCAATCTGGGGTGACCGCTCATTTTCATGCATAAATGCTATCCAAAATCGAGCAATGAGATATTTTTTTAGGAGTTGGGAAATATACACCTAATGCAGCGGTTATTGGGGAAATGGGCTGGAAACCATCATCAGTTAAACAGTGGGGTTCTGTAGTCAGGCACTTCTGCAGAATGTCAAAAATGGATAGTGGTAGAATTAACAAAAAAAATCTTTGATTGGGCAAGACGGAGTGCTTCTTCCAGATGTAAGAACCAGTATTTTAGAATATGTAAGATGTTTAGAAGTATTGAGATAAATATTAATGATGTACATGTTTTTAGTGCTAAGAGAATAGTTGAAATGGTCGAGAACAAGTTACGGTCAGTTGAATTAGATAAGTGGAAACAGTCACTAAATAGGAATGATACCAATAGAAATACTGGTGGTAATAAACTTAGAACATATAGTTTGTTTAAAGATACTCCGGTTGTTGAAAAATACCTCAAGTACAATTTACCCTTCCATCATAGAAGTTCTTTGACAAAATTTCGTTGTGGTGTTGCGCCTATCCGGTTAGAGACAGGCCGTTATGAGAATTTACATGTAAATGATAGAACATGTTTCAATTGTACCACAAATGTTGAGGATGAGATTCATGTAATTTTACACTGCCCAGTATATAATGATATCAGAGAAGATTTGTTGGTAAAAATACGTCAAATTAATACTGTATTTGATACTCTGTCTGACATGGAAAAGTTATGTTATGTACTAAACAACTTTGAAATTGTTAAATATTCTGCCAAAGCCTGCTACCAAATACTGCAACTTCGACGTTTAAGACTGTATAGGAGATAATTTTTTTTACTTTAACTAATCTAGTCATTAGTTGTATTTTTACTGAATTTTATATGGTTTTTTTTACATGTTTTTAACAATACAAATTGTTGTAAATACATGTATATAAGTACAACAAGTATGAGTATGGTGCTTTTAAAGTCCTTTTATCAAGATATTTTTTATTAATAGGTTAAAATAGGAATATTGCTATTGATATAGAAAACAGGAATGAAATTGTATGGTTTTAATGCCTATGTGGTATAATATTGATCTTGCCAATTTAAAAAGCAGCCTGGAATTCCCAGGTGTACAGACTCCTTCAAAGTATTGTAATAAAGGAATTTATTATCATGAATTTTATATTTAACTTTTAAGGGTATTAGCTAAACGATTTTATGAATTAAAAAGTATTAATACACAGGGTTAGCTCAAACAACAATTATTGTCATAGTAATATAATTAATAGACAGACAGGCACAAACTTGACCTCTTTGATCATATACATATGTAATTCATGTTAGATTGTGTCTAAATATTGACTTTTTATTCTTAAAAAGTAGATATTTTAGATATTTTAGAGATTATTTTAGAGATTATTTTAATAATTTTACAGTCTCTTATAACTCCTTATGTAGGAGTGGCTTTGTGTTGTGTAAAAATGCTGTGTTTTACCTCTTAAATATATGTAAAGATGCACATAGATGAGACTTAAATAAAATATTTGAGTTGAGTTGAGTTGAGTTGAGTGCTACAGTAAGATGGATATATATATCAAAGTCAGAAAAAAGCTAACATGTTTTTACCTTAATGGCCTGTATAATTATGTTTCACAGCTTCTCAGCAAACAACCAACTGAGCCACAATTGAAATCTAACAAACAAGCCTTTATTCACAAACCTGAAATAAAAACTTTTCCTAATCAATACAATAGTTCTTTTAATTTATTACATACTTCATTGAAACATTAAGAAATATTGATAAAGTAAAATGCTCATTTTCATTTCCTGTATTTTCAATGTAATTATTCATTTTTCATTGCGTAATTTCACAAGTGTCTCCTAAATTTAGCCTATACACAATAGACTGTAAAGAATAATAGGGCAATTTCTTTATAATTTCAAGTATTTATAGTCGAAACAGTCCTTTTTAAAGGTATATATATGGGTAAGTTGAATGTTGCATGTCCAGATATGATTGACTAACAATTGTAAAAGTGAGTAATAATTGTCGGAATCATAGCTCAATCGGTAGAGAACATAGCTCAAGGTTTCCAGATTTCAAAAAAAAAATTATTAATTTTGTTCTGACATGTCAGGAACAACTTAGATATGTCAGGAACAACTTGAAATTTAAATGTGTTTTTCGTTTGATTGATTTTTGTTACCTATCTTACTTTTTCATTGAAGTACGTATCTTACCTTCTTAAAAATTATGCCCAAATCTCATTTCTTTCTCTTTTTTTTAAACTTCTTTTCATGAATTTAATATAAATATTTTCAACAGATTTTAAAATAATCAAAATACAACACTGTTAAGCATATATAACTGTTGTCAGGATTAAGTTTTGTTTCATCAAAAAAAAACTTGAATAGAAAATAGAACAGTTTCCACCTGTAGTTTGGAACCCACTAACTGAATTCACTTTTATATCAATATTATGCAGTCTTAAACTTATTTCACTAGTAAGTCAAATGATTTATTATCTCAAACAATGTAATTACATGTAGTATAAGTTTTATGGAAATAATGTGGTTAATCACTTGCAGTTAATCAAGGCTCGACAAATCCACTTGTCCGCTCATAAATGATAAATACGAGTAAAAATGACTCTGGACAAGTTAATCTCCCAAAAATGCCCGTCCTGCAGGACATGTGAAATTTCTAGCATAAATTAATCAAATTTCAATTCAATTCTTTTGAAACCATTTTTCAAGTTTTACTAGTAAGACAGAGCACAAAATAATTCCCGTGTGTTTGATGGGCAAAACTGATGTTGATTTGTTGAATGCAACGCTTTATTCTGTCCGATTCTATTTTGTAAAAACTTACTAAAAGCCCGTGCGGCGATTCCAGTATGTTCCACAAAATTTTTTAAAATGTAACAATGCAATATTCGGCAAATGTTTAGCCAGAAAGAAGTTAGTTAAACAGTGTCTTCAAAAAAGAAAAATTGTCTTCAAAAAAGAAAAATGAGTCAGAACATGTAGGAAATTTATATTTTTTAAGCATTGTTGTTGTTGTTGTTGTTTTTCGTTTTTCAATCCCTGATATATTATTTGTAGTATTTGTAACTATTATCTATTCTATTTGTAATAGAACAGCATTTTTCCCTTATAAAACTATTTACGTTCCCAATAAAAAAAGACAGCAAATTTTCAAATGTTTTATTTTTAAAGTCCCAAAATTACTGTCAAAATTCCCATCCAAAATTGGCATATATAAAATGGATGATTTCATATTGATAAGTGATATGTGATAAAAACCAAGTACAACTACATCTGACAGAGCAATATTTGTACCTAGTTCATTTTATACTTCCGAACATTATTTATGTACATGTACTCATTTTTTTCACTCCAATAGGAAATCAATATATTATGCATGGTTTAACTTTAAATGTGTATAAATATTATGCATAATTCTCATGTCTCCCTGGATAAAATTCAAAATTAACCATGTGGCATGAATACCTGTCAGTTATGTAGTATCAATTTGAGTCAAAACGCATTTTTCCAAAAAAAAATTGTACTGGTAGCGTATAGATAATAGTTATCCAGAACTAAGCAAATGTCAGGGTTTTTCGATGCTAATCCCCAGTGTAAATATAATTATAACCTTACTCAAATTTCTTAAAATGAGGGGTGAAGTGTCTGCAAAAAAGGGCCTAGGGTGAAGTGTCTGGGGGGTGAAGTGTCTGTAAGCCGAGGTGATGGACAAGGCAAGACATGTCAATTTTTTGTAGCTTATTATGAAGTTGCAGTACAATGAGAGACTGGCACTACTTGTATATTTTTTATTTAAAAAAGCTGTAAGGTAAGCATCAACAATATGTATACGCTAGATGTAAATAACTCACCTCCAAAAAATATATAAAAAAAATGGGTCAAAAATGTCTGGGTAGGAAATGGTTTGAGGGAGGACTTTCAAGGGAAGGAACTGCTAAACTTAAAATTTGATAAGGTCAATTCAGTACAAAAAAGCTTTACCCGATAATGGCCGATTGTGAAGAAAATTTGTAAAAAATAGAGCTTTTAATTGCAACTTAAATATCAACGTTCTGAAATATAAACAATGAACATCAGTCATCTTGAATAACGTTGTATTGAAAGTCATATCCGCGGATATGACTCATATCCGGTATTAAGTCAAACTCTTGTATTTTTTGTAAGCAACCAGAATCGCCAACGATTTCGCCACTGATAAATGGATAAATGCAAAACAAGCAAAGTTATTCAACAGTTAGGTAAATGGGAGATAAGGTTTTTGTAATATAAAACTTACAACTCGTTTTAACACGTGGAACTTCTATATAAACTTCTCAATCTTTCACGGATGAACTTGTAAACAATGGCGATTGCGGTAAAATGACGTTAGGGCGAAAATAGTTCGTATTCATACGCATGCATTGTTTTTCTTAAATTTACACTTATGAAGCATTAGGCCCTATAAGCTTTAAAGTTAGCTGATCTGAAATCCGTATTCCATTACTTGCTAAATTTTTGAGTTCTATGACACTTAATTAACTTGTGACTACATGTAATTTGTACTATATTTATGCAAGTACTTTGGCTATGATCGACCGCTGGCGTAGTAATATTAAAATCGCGTAAAGCAAAAATATACATACAATTTTAAAAGACGATTGCTAAATTTAGTACAAAATTGGCCAGTCAATTTTAAAATAGATAGGGAACTATGATTTTGGAGTTACTGCGAAGTTTTGGAACTATTTTGCTTAGCGTAGGTAGCTGACTATTTGTGGTCATATCATAGTAAATCTGAATTTGTCGTTATTCCATTGGGGGCGCATTGCGCATGCGCCCCCAAAAACGGAAAATATGTTTCACTGCAGTGAAAAAGTAAGGTTGTACAGTGAATATACGGAAAAAATACGCATTTTATATCATCGATATTTCTCATTATTTCATTTGTTAATATATTAAATTAATATTTTTTTATCATCCTGTACAGACACACCAACATATGAACAAAGTATCTCCGTTATAAGAATTTTATAAATATGCACAATACAGATGCAGTTTTAAATGCTTTATTCAAATTATGGCAATTTTTACCATTCCATAATCACTCTACCATGCACCAACCGAATCAAGTTAGCTCTATGTACATGTACCTCTCTCCTTATTTTGACCAAAATATGTATTTAATGTTCAGAAAGCTCATTTAGTTTGTACATTTGAAATACATCCGTCCTGTCTCGTGAAAATATGTGGCATTTTATCATGTTTCGTGAAAATATATTCCATATTTCACTCAACAAAAAATACCCTTTTATTATTTATCAAAATATATCAATTATCAGCATTCATATAATATAAATAATGAAAATGAGATAAAAACGCCGATTTTCATATATACTGTTCTACATACTTTCATAGACAGACATATACACAAATGTATTTAAATAATTATTTTTATCTTAAAGTGTATATCTTACTCTATAACATTATCAATATTTCCTAATGAAAATAGAAGCGTACTGTATATATCTATTATTTATAATCAAATATTTGGCGAATATTTATGTTAAAATGTTCGTATTTTGAAGGAAACATTTATTTAATGATGTTTTAAAACGTTTTTTCCAATACATCTATTTGAAGTTTTTGAAAATAAATAGAAAATTCTTTGTTACAAAATTAGATTGACACGTGTCAGATGTACAGTTACAAGTATTGGTTAAAATGGCTGTCATGAAGCATGTCCGTAACATACATGCTAGGTGTGATGCCATTTATGATATCATCAATGACTGTGTGTTATCATTCTTTGTGTTAACAAGTAATGGGTAGGAAAGATCAAGAATTGTCACCTGACAAGAAGAATAGTATTGTAGATTTTCTGATTTATCGCGCTATATTTTTCCATTCAGAAAGCCACGGGTTGTATTGAAAATTGGGGAAAAAATCACTGGACATTATGTGAAATTACATGTAAATGTGAATCAAGTATCCAAGGGGACAATCGTCCGTCATTTACACAAACACAGATTTAAAAGGAGAGAGTGGTGGTAATGGTTAAATATGATGGTGTTTACAGAAGAGGTGGTTGACTGTTGAGAGACAGTGGAAGAATGTTATATTCTCTGATGAGAGCCAGGTTGTTGTAGGTGGTGATATCAGTTTAATTCATGCTTTCCAGTGTTTTATTGTAATATATCAGATGATTATATTCTGATAAACCACTAGTGAAATTTATAAAAAATAATTTTCACTGTAGCCGGACTATATCTGAATGCGGATGAACAGAAAATCATAACTAAAAAATAACAGGCAGAAATAAATGCCGTCATACGTAAATTTTGCTTCTTTAGGAAAAGAAAGTCAATATAATCATACATCATGTTAGAAATTTAACAAAATTAGAGAAATTTAACGGAACTAGATTTCAAAACTGATGATGTGACGTCATGATATACTGACATCACAAAGGAGATGCGCGACGTTACGCGGCAAAATCAGTAAAAAATAGCTTAAAATCACTTAAAAAGCATAAAATAAAAAGAAAATTTATTTGTTTTACATATAAGATTGAAATATATTTCATTCGTGAACACCAGCTATTATATTTTCACTCGTGGCTACGCCACTCGTGACAATATTGCATCTGGTGTTCACTCAGTGAAATTATATTTCAATCTTACATGCAAAACAAACAAATATCCTCTATATGTCTGGAGAAAACAGAGTAAAGGATATAGACCGGCCCTCTTTTTATCAACAAAAAATAGAAAGTTCTTTGTTATATAAAAGAGCATTGAACAAAAACACAATAGATGCCTTTATAGGTGTGTGACTGTTATGAAAAGGCATGGAAGAGAGGATAGTTTAAGAATTATGATGACGAACCTGGCATTGAGATGATGTTGTAAAACATATGAAAATATATTTATTTAGCAATTAAAGAGGTACGTCGACTTAATTGTTGTTAAAATAGTTCATATAAAACTAAAGTATTGTTATAACATAATTATTATGAAATCCAGGTTAATGTTATCTTATCATTCAGAAAAAAAGTCAGAACACGTGAAAATGCATTTTAGTTTTCAGTTTACCTGATTTAATGCTAAAATGTATCCAATTTTACTGTGATGCCAAACAGAAAATATTTAAGTCACATAAATATAATTAGATTATTTTTTCAAACTCTTGAGAAGTTAAGATTGGTAGTGGGTAAAAAAAGAACACACATTGTTGTTATTAAAGTTGTAAATTCAAACGCTCTTGTAAGAAAATAGTTACGGGTAAAATGACATTAATTTCCATGAACAAATATCTTATTGAGGTTAATAATTTTAAATATAATAATATGGCAGAATATGCAAGAAAAATATCAGACATATGTTTGCAGCTCGGCAAGCCTCGTTACCGCCCAAATGGGCGGGTCACCTCCGGACGGATATTCCGATCTGAACCGCAAAATATGACAGATATTATTATTTCATCCGGCTCCTCGTAACATATGTAAATGCGCATCAAACTTACACTTCACAAAGTCAATAAACATTTATTAGATTGGTATAATACTATGGATTACGATTTAATTAACTATGTCATGGTTCTTAGTTGTAAACTAGCTTGGTGAAAAACAACGGTCACGTGACCAATCTGTTTGACACTTACCATCGTGCTAATCTGTTCAAAGGAAGTGCCCAATACAACTTGTGTAAAATGGTAAGGTTATATTATCCATGGTATGGAACTTTTTTTGTTCTTATTTACCTATTATACTCCGTATGCTTTCAATGATAATTTAAAAACTGTATTGATATATAGCAGTGCAGTTTTTTTTTAGGTTTTTTTTTCATTATGAAAAAAAACTAAACTGCTATATAGCAGTTAAGTTTTTTTTTCCACGCACCTTGTATATACCAGTGTATTGTTTTTTTCACAGAGGCTCCAATATGGGGCAGGGTAAAATAACATTTCCAGGAGCAAAAAAAAATATAATTTAAACAATAATAAAACAATAAATGAATAAAATAAGTAATATAAACAATGATAATTGATGAAATGAAATTTATTATAGTATATGCAACTGCTTAAATCAAAGGGAACATCCGCTGAATGAATGAATTCTACTGAAAAAAACACCCACAAATCTTGAATCAACATCAGTTACTCAACAAGGTAAAAGTTTACAATCTGTCTCTTAAACTTAATGGTTGTATATATATTTTATTTAATTCTTTTTTCTTGTTGCTTTTTTTTATCGCATGATATACATAAATAAACTTTTTAATTAGACATAAAAATTAAATATATATTTTGCTTCCCTGAATATATTTAATTCCTCTCACGTTACCTCGGTTACTCTTTTTTTTGGTACATGTAAATGACCGATTTTTTTTCTTATTGTAAATACATAACGTAAGAGCCAATCAGTTCCTGGTCGGTTGGATGACCACAAACAAAGACGTTTCTGTAAATAATTGTGACGCGCAAGTTTTAGGCTAACCGCCGTTTAATCTGCATTTGTTTTAATGGCACGCCAAAAGATGGATTTTAATTCTATTTCAATGAAAACGATAATTGTTATTTTCGGGGACTATTTTTCCAATATTTTTCAAATATATATTTGAAATTCGCCTAACGATACATTAAACAGAGAACTTTTATATGCGCTTTTTGATCATTGAATTTTTTGTCCCGCATATTTTTTTATATCTGTTATAAATATCAATTCAAGTTTGAAATACTTACCGCTTTAAGTCATCTCAAAACTGTTTTAGTTGACATAACTTGAAGTCGCGTCTATTAATGCCATTAAGTGTAATAAATTGTAGTTATCGCTATTGCTTTTAGCCCTACGCAGAATGCGCGTGCGCGAAATGCAACATGCACAGTTATGGAAAAATTGTATCGTGAAAAGGTCAATTAAGGTAAGAATTGTTCATATGTTTTGGTGAAAGTTGGTTCGGTTGTTGCTGATTTTCAATTTTTGCAATCACTATAGGCGGTGAGAATCCAATATGGCCGCCATTATAACCAATAATTATGGCATGTTACTGTAATAGTCTGTGAATTTGCAGAGCGCTGGTTAAATACTTATCTGTCACATCATAATACCCCGCTGTTACTATAACTCCACCAGCAGCACCGGTCAATGCGAGGTAGCCTTTATTTGCATAAAATATAATAAAACAGATTAAAGTACATATTAGAAAAAAAAACAACACTTTTATAGAATATATCATAATTATCATGAATGTTCATATACAAACGATCAAAAACCTTATTCATTGCATTTATTTAACTCAAAGTATACATCCATCCCTACAATATGGGGTATTATTTATTTAAAAAATCACTAATTATTAAGTCATTATTCATATTATGAAAATAATGAAAAACGCCGATTTTCATAGCCACGCGCGATTTTCTTCACATATATATTCTTTTACACACTAACACGGACGGACGGACATATATATATTTAAAACCATTTATTTATCGTTAAGTACATATACTTCCCTACAATATGAGGTATTATTTATAAAAATATATTAATCATTAAAGTCATAATTCATAGATGAAAATGATGAAAAATGCCGATTTTCCAAGCCGCGCGGGATTTTTGTCAAAAGTATATATTACTCTTCTACACACTATCACGGACGGACAGACAAATATACTTTCACTCATTTATTTAACTGAAAGTACACATCCATCCCTACAATATGAGGTATTATTTATAAAAATATATATTAATATTCATAGATGAAAATGATGAAAAACGCCGATTTTCATAGTCGCTCGATTTTTTTTAAAAATGT